AAGTAAATCCGATTAAGAGATTAAGAGAATTAACACGGAATTAGCCGCTTCAACCCGCGTATACTTCGATACAAGATCGACCATAAGATGGTGAGGTACTGACTGAGTATACGGTAAATGTATCCAATGAATAACTAGAGTAAAACCTCTCATGAACGACCATATTTCTGTTCAATCACCTCATATTATCCCGTGGTAATATCAAAAATGACTTGAGATAAAATTCAACCATCAATGGAAGGCCACCTCGACAAGAGACTATGACAATCAATATTCTAGGTGGTTTCTATATGGGAGGATGGTTCTACTGTATATATAATAGAGTAGAATAAGTGAAAGGAGAGAGTGTATCATAGAACTATTCCTGTACAAATCTTACATCCTGTAGGTATAAGAGGAGACATGTGAGATGCTCCATAATTACCGGTCACCGGCACGGCAGTCAGGCCAATGACTGAGGTGACTTTTTGGACGGTAGCCAACCCACGCCTGTCAGTCATGGGGAGCATCCAATAACGCGGCGAGCTAAGGAGTGTCTAGAACTCTTCTATGTTCTCTGTCAATATCGTGCTTCTATTATATAATCTCCAGGCCAACTATGGGCTAGCTTTATGTATAGCCATGTTATCTTGTCTAGAGAAGTCCCAGAGTACGACCTTCAAAGAAGGGCGCATTTAATGTGAAAGTAAAGCGAAACTATCTCACAATGTGACCCAAGAAAGCTGATAATGTTGGTTGACATTGATATATTAGAAGAAGCCTGTGAAAAAAGTTTTTCTTATTATTTAATTCACAATACTTTTATATGAACATTTTATGAACAATGGTAAAAAGAATAGGGAATAGCGTTTATAATTCTTCTTCCTGAATGAAATTCCGTTTCACTTTTTATAATTTTTCCAAATGACAAAGGCAGACGAGAATTTTATATATATTGATCATAAATGATTAAGAGGACCTAACTTTTCCCCTAGCAAAACAAAAATTAAAATCCAACATTCATTTTGCGTGTGTGACAGTTTTAAATAAACAAACACCACTCCCACTCACCAAAATAACAGGATTTCCCCAATTTGACGCGGAAGTCGTGTCCAAGAGGCACGAGCCAATTGTGGAGCCTCCTTCCGCCTGAATGATGCAACAATGAGATATTATCCCGGGCGCCGACTCGCTCAATGAGTTCGTGATGCTTGCTTAATTATCAATTCTCCTGGTGTCAACTCGGCAAATCTCGCCGCGGCCTTGACACCATCTACTCTGCGCCGTTTGGTTGAGAACGAGGTTTGACCCTCGTCCCGACTCCGTCACGTTCTACGACCTCCACACCTAGCTCATTTCCTTCTCGTTTCACAAGGGAGAGTTGCTCTAATCGTTATTTCCCATGAATTTAGATATATTTTATCTATTTGCATCTTCAAATAAAAATTAAAAATACAGTAGAACCTTTCATCAGAGGCAGATGCAAACATTGTGATACTCCTTATATCTGCTGAGTTGGAACAAAGAATAATCCAGAAGGGAGGAATTAGTTCCTCATAAGTTCTTGTAAAAAATCATTCTTTGATGATTTTTTTAAAATTAATATACATATAAGGGTATTTTTAATTTTTGATAAGAAATATAAGTTCTGGTATGAATAATCCGCCAAACCTATAGGAAGCCTATTCCTAGATGTTTATTATTTCCAACTGATCATATGAAACAAGATATTTTAATTCTTGATCTTACAATCTCTCATTGAAATGTCCCTCATTGAGTCAATTTTGTGCAAAGGTGATCGCTCCCTCATCAGTCGCTTATGAGAGATTTTACTAACTCTCCATTATCTATTGTTTTCGCATTAAGCGATATCTCTCCAGAACAGTTACATGCCACATATACTCTGGGTGCACATATCAGTTAGATACCGATACTCACACTAAAAAAAATCGGTTTTAAATAATATTCAATTTTTAAAATAATTCTCTATCGTAATTAATGATTTAATGACATCTATCTCTGTATAATCTTCTGAAATAACCGTAAAGAAAACAATTCAAATAGAAAACTTTACGATGAAATGCAAATTTAGTTTCCGTTTATTATTTTGTGGAACGCGGGATAATTAAAAACCAAAATTGAAGCTGGAATAACAAACCAAACGATCGATGTGTGGCAGAAGGATGTTTGTGCTGCCCCAATTATAGCTTGTTCCGAATGTGACGACTCACTTCCTGATAGATGTTTGCCGCCAGCTTCCGACCTGGCCGCTCCATATCCTGGCTGATGTTCGCGCTAATCTGATGGAAGCTGTACATGTGTTCCCGACACCACATCACAATATTGCCATTTTATCATATACTCCATTTTCAATAATTATTTTCATAATACTATATATTCAAAATATATTTCATGTTATATATAAATGAAGTTCTAAATTTGTGTCGTTACTCTTTTCCAACAAAAACACAAACACACACACTGCAGAATATATCATCAAGAAACTTCACCTATAATTAGCTGAAGATGTATATTAACACACAACAACACAAATAGTCTATTCAAACTCTATTCAAATTACCTAAAATAACCTTTTTAGAAAAATCCACAAGTAAAATACTGCGATCTAATAAATTCCGTGTTTCAACGACAGCAAAGTTTACCTTGGGTAAACATTTGCGTGATGCTAACAAAGTACAATCAATTACTAACACATGTAAAATCTCAAAACAAAAGGTGTAAAGAAAGCTCAGAACACGTATCTCCTATCTCCCCTTATATCATATCATTTTCCCCACAATATCATTTACATACTTATATACTCATACATGCTGTATATATATTATAGTATTTCATATTTATAATATATATATAACGTTACAAATGAATCCCTGGCAACTATCGTATTATTGAATTATAGCGATCTATTTTAGAACACACCACAAGTGTTGATGTGCACTAAACTAACCCATCTACTAGAGCACATAGCTCTCTCTCTCCTACATTTACTCCCCGGTCCAATCCACTAAATGACAAGCCATCGATCTGGTCTCCCTTGTTTACTCCATCTCGGGAGATTAGGGCGGCCTGAAAGTACACGGCCATCGCCGCAGCTTTGTTATGAAAATAGCCAACACTGGGGGGCCGTCGTCCAATATATTAAGAATTACGCATAAGAACTCAGGCGGCGAGATCGCCATTGTTGCTAGCGTACATTATTATCCGCTATAATCCTTCTTGCTCAGCTCAAAGTGCTGGTGGAATGGAGCAATGATTTAGTTTTGGACATTATAGACAGAGCTAAACCAACCAAATATATACATAAAAGCAAGTTTGGTCAAGTTTGTACAATATAAATGTATTACTATATATATACACACACCATATATATATACACCGAATCTTTCAGTAAGAGAAGAAATACACCGTTGGAAGTGGAGTATCTTTTATCCATAGTGAGATAACCTAAATTGCTAGAATTGCTTCTCTCTCTAAAAACGCTAACTCTCTCGGTCAAATTCACAGGCACAGTGAAGTCCTCCGTGAGGGACAATTATTTTGAGAGGCCACTTCTGTAAAATTAAAAATCCCTTGATATGAGATAACCCAACTTCCAGTGAGAAACCATCTTTAGGCGGCTTCTCTGTACGGTATGAATTGGTCTTCTTCGATTTTCTTGAATGGTTGACTTTATCCAACCAAACATAGAACCTACAACATCTCTAAAATATCAGGAAAAATTCTTAAAAATTAATCTTTCAATACAAATCAATAATACCTAGTTTTTACATTATGATATCAAGCAATGTCAATTTACAAATATTAGCGTTCATTGTTGAGAGTTATAGGAAATAGTCACGTCGTACCTGATACCTGAACGATCAACTTTGTCAAATCAAAAATGCTTTGAATTAACAAAACCAAACCTCCGATAAGAGACCACCTACAGGAGAAGCCAGAAGTAGCTAAATTTCATGCTGCCTCTAAAGGAAAGTTCTGATGACATCTATAATCTTAAATTAATAATGTGCGCCATTATTTGAATAGATATCATTGTAGAATATCTATATAAATAAACCTGCATACCGCACATGTGCAGGAGAAGTCTAGAAAGTCGCGTATCTCCTTATTTCCAATATTATATAACGAGATCTCTATTTCCAAATGAAAAAGGCGCAATAGGATCAAATTCAAATAGTTACTAGCATGAATTTTCAATTTTCTCATAACAATCAAAAACAATTATCATTTTTAACAATGTTTAAGATATTTTAAACTACAGAACACACACACACTAATAAAATTAAAATATCTCTTTAATTTAATAGCAAATTTAATTTATAGCTGGATATACGTATATATAATTATTTTATAATTGGATTATGTTATTTTCCAATAACTGCGACACATTAGATATATCAAAAATGGAAAATAAGAACAAAGTACAATCGGGAGCAAAGTGGACTCCGCCATCCCAGTAGGTTCGTTTGGAATTTATTGATTGGAGTTTTCCATTAAGTCTGTGCTAGGAAACCTTAATGGCTTAATTTTTAATTAAATAATTAGGTTCTGGCGGTGTCGTTTGACCTTATTCTTCTAAAAATCTATTTTAGTAGTTTCTAGTTTTCTTAGTGCGGTAATTTTAGTAGAATATTTTTTTTCTTTCAAGGAAATTGTTCTCAATATTTCTTATTTTTATTTTTTAATTAAAATATTATTGTAAGGAACGTGTCAAGTAATCAGTAATCTTTTATAATAAAAATATCGTAAGTGTTAGATATTAAACATTATTGAAGCGAAATATTTTTTTTCTAGTTGCAAATAAGATATAAAACAAATTATATCAAGTTTTTTTTTTTTAATTAAGATTTTGATTTAAATTTCATTTAATAAATTCAATTAAGTGGGAGGGAGGCAAGAATTTGGGAGATGTTCTAACAATCCCCCTATATAAGCTAACAATGAATTATTAAGCTAAGTTAATTTATTATACAATATAAGAGTAATGATGAGCGAAAAAATATAAGTGTCCAGGGATGGGAATCGAACCCACAGTGTGCCGCTTACCGGGCAGATGCCATGTCCACTAGGCTCATCATTACTCTCCACAATTCATTCTTTCATACTTCTTCCCTAAGGATAGAAATAGTCGTTATTTCTCCTTAAAATAAATTACGATTTTTCGTTCAAAAGAAACATTTGCGGTAAAACTTGTCAAACGTCGTTTTATTAAGCTAAGTCTTTGTTATAATAGTGGTTATATATATGTATACAACAATTATATATAGCCCATGGAATGAAAAATTAATATTTCCCAAATGGCATCTAAATGATACATTATATGACCCACACTAATCTACCTCAGCACAACCTTTAAGTATTCAATAAAACGACGTCAAAGCGAACCCAAGAAAGAGAAAAGGCCTAGCAATTGAAGCCACAATTTACCCTGTTAATAAGAACGTAAACTATTACAAATTACACAAATACAGTGGAACCTCCTGAAAAAGACTATTGTCCTAAAATATAGATACTCCTGGCTTCTCCTGGAAAGGTGATTGCATATTAAAGGCTTCTCTGAGTCAGCTTTGAATTTACAGAAGCGGTCGCTGATGGAAATTCCCACAACAGCTCGAAGGAAGCTGAACTCTACTAGAACATGGAGGTAGGATTCGACTTTCTCTACTTACACCACGTTTTACCTTGATAATGGGGTCGGCAAACGTCGGTGAATAAACTCACCACACAATTTCCATCTTCAACGCTGGGTTTCCTCAATAGATCGAGCGGTTATGAAATACACTCAAACCATCTCATCTTATGAGCTACCACCACCTTTATAAATTCTAAGAGGATTTATAAATACGACTAAAAACATTATGACAGACTTTAGCCACGATGCCTTTCTTCATTAACAACAAGGAAACCCACACAACGTCTGTGAGCTCTATCGCAATCTTTTGATTCTTCATATTTATACTTTCAGATGTCAGCGCGGTTATTGACATTCACTGAATTGACTTGTAGACGACATCAAACAGTGAGAGACCACGTGGTATTCACGGCGGCCTTTCTCTAAGATATTCAGTTAACTTTCCGTGCCAAGTCTCGAGTTTAATTAGTTGTTCTTATGATAAATTACTTCTATATATATCTATATTAATAAAATGGAAATTTCATAAGTGGACATCACTAAAAACTTTCGTTACAATGCATCAATTTCAACCAAATTTTCACATTTATGTAAAACGAGATGGAGCAGGTTTTTCTTAACTATCGTTTGTTTTTATTTAATAAGAGTTAATTTTATTTATATATAAATACAAAATTAAATTTCAACAGAGTTAATTTTTTTACATACTAGCTAATAATCTCAATCTAAAAAATATTCAAAACAAGCAATTTTAAGATAACACCATATGTAAAACAGTCGGCCAAGAAAACAACAACGATATTACATCTTTCTCACATATCCACACACAATCTTGATTAATAATTAAAACTAATCTTTAACATTGTTTATTATACTTCAACTTTTATTTCTACATTTGTTTTTAAATACCCAATTGTTCTATCATGTTTATAATTTCGCCTAACAAATATACAAATTTATAGTGACCAACATATGCAAATTTTATCTTTGTTTTTATTTAACTTGATATCGTAAACATAACATCCATTGTAAGCATTTTTCTGTTCACCTTCCGTGGTTTCTCTTTTCTCTGATAGTTTTTAGGTGTAGTATATTTTCTTATTACTAGACTACAAACATTCCCTCGAGAAAAACCTGGGCGAAGCCGGGTACATCCGCTAGTATATATATATATATAATCTATTTCGAATTATACAGTATATTGTGAATATATAGAAAATATATATTTTTATAATTTCTCTCTCTTTCTTTTAAAGAATATATATATTTAAGGTGTATCGTAAAATTATAGTTGTCTATGAAGAAATAATTCCTCTAAATTTAATTTGTATTAATGCCTTATATTGAAAACATATATAAAATATTTCATATTATCCTTTTGGTGTGTTGAAAAAGGTATATTGTAGTGGTAATGCTGTGGATACCTATGACAAAAATAAATACTTATATAAATATTATTTTGTATTATATATATATGTTATATATTCAAAATATATATTTAAAAATTGTATTTTAGTATCAAAGGGTATTGTAGAATTAATGCGCTAGTTGCCTATGACGGAAAAGTTACTACATATAAGTCTATTTAGTATTATATATAATACCATATATATATTTATATATTATAAATAAACTACTTTAATTATATTTGGATAACACAACGGTATAGTATAGCTAGTTGCTTATGATATGAAGTAGGCTTACACTGAACTAAGTGAGGAGAGAAAACTTACGTTCAGGACGGCGGTGCAGCACAGACTGAAGAACTGCTCTGTTTGCGTGGGCGTATAGACCTATGATCAAGAGGATATACGTGTTCATTCATATGGCTTTCGGATCACAGCATTGCCAAATATCCTGTCATTCTACAAGGACGACCTTAAGAAGTTATGCCACTCATGAAAGATCATGATTCATGTCCCCAATTTTACTATTCAAAAGCATGGCTCTGACTCCGGAAATCAGATTTGCTACCAGAAAGCATGAAGGACAGACTTAATATAAAGTTTTAGAAATCGCATATTTGTTTGTCATGAAGGACAACTTACCTGAGAAGTAGGTCTGTCTCATAAATGCGCGATAGTTCTATATGCTCCAATTAATAAATGCCCAAAGCTTAACATATTATAAAATCTACGCGACTTACAGTAAGATCAGTTTTAAGCGGCCTTACCATTAAGGTACTATTACTGTTATTTTCTGCATGTATCCTACATTTCTGCTTGGAGAATCTGCATAAGACTAAAAGTTCTTATTAAAACTTTTTGTTGTTGTTGTTTTAAGCGTCCTCCGTCTTAAGTGGCACCATGTTGTATATAGCTAGATTTATGTAGTCCCACTATGATTATCTTATCACATGAACCTGGGTTAGAGGCAACCTGTGCAGCCTCAGTTTCCTGACTGGGTTTATACCAATTTACCACCTTGGGATAACAATATATCAAAGAAAAATTATATAAACGCTTTAAAATATCATTGGTAACCGAATAGAGGTAGCTACTGTAAAATCTAAAATCAGAATGTGAGCTAGCAAATAAAAATATTAAAATCATGGTAATAGACGATGCCAAAATAAAAATAAAGAATCGTAGTAAACCCTTAAACCTCATAAATTTACATATCTTATTTGGCAGCCAATAACAATTAACATTCTAAGAAAACTTGGAGTTTTTACAGATCTTATTAAACATTTTTATTGCTTTCTTGGCAGGAAGCCAATTGAAATGAACTGGAATTATAAAACTAACGCAGCGAGAAAGTTGGACTTGCAGATAGAATTTATTGTACATTTCCTAATGAAGCTTATTTTAAGAATACTGGAATAATGCGACAGTAGTACTAGATACTTATCTGGCCGTGTTGTGATTAGAATACTTTCAACACATTAGACTGAAAGGCGCGTTCAATACTTATCAAAGAAATAATACTAAGTTTTAATATGTATATATTTGTGGTTACTTTTACGAAATAAATTGTTGGATTCAAAAGGAGAAGACGTCCAACTCAACATTAATTAATTATCCAGCTTCTGGTTAGATAACAATTGAGGTGTCTATAATAAGAAAATAACAGTTATTGTCATTATATCCTTAAAAAACTCTAAATAGAGATATCATCAAAGTAAACCTGAACTGATAGCAAGTAAACGTGAGCACATACAAGGTGAACACATACAAAGTAAATATGGGAGCTTACAAATTGAACAAGAATACACAGAAAAGTCGAATTTCTAGAAAGGATATCGTGAAAGAGGCGGGTGAATTTAAAAGTAAAAACAGAAAAACCAAACATGATAACAAATAGGACTTCATTCTCATAATGAGTGAACAGATAACTTTTTCCTTGAAGTTAATGATCTGGAACTTTGCCATTTATTTGAATTGAGATAAAAATAACAGAAAACAAACTGAAATTTAAAATATCGCCTGAAACCTCGTTTACTGAACATCCCATATAAAATCCCTATCTCTGGACTAGAAGAGATTAGACATATATATGGGTGATAAAGTTTTGGCCATCGCCGAAAAACACTTCCAGCTGTTTCGCAAATTTATCATCCAGGCCACTGGAATCATCTGAAACTGGGAGCCAGGTTTTATCAATATTTATGATACTCTGGTAGTTTAAGAAATATATGTTTTAATAGAAAATAGAAGAAATCCTTTCCAAATATATGTTTTAGATATTATCTGAAAATAGAGCAATCCATACTTAAATCATTAGATAGTAAAAAGGTATATATTGGATTGAAAATCTTTTATTAAATCCAATATATGCCTTTTTACTATCTAATGTTTAAGATATGTAATAATTAGAATTAAGTTAGAAATATGGAAACTTCATCCTAACTCAAAATATATTTAGTTAGCCTCTACAATAAATATATTTCTCTAATAATTGAAATTGACTTTCTAACGTAAACTCTATGGAATTGATCTAGTGCTATTCAGATGTAATTAAGGGTAAGAGTATCATGATGAGAGAGAAGATATACTAGGTATATTCCAACTGCTACCTACTTGGACAGGTTGTTCACATGTTGAGAAAATTCAATGTGAAGCTCCATTAACCAATAAACGTCACTATAATTGATGTATGCTGTACATTATTAATGTGAAATTTCATCGGATCTCATCTAATTATTCCCCCGTCAGTTTACATTTGCTCAAGGCATTTCAAGATTGCTCTTTTCACTAAATTGCGTCCATTTCTTTATCGTTTGCTTTTTAATTACGGCAAACCATATTGGGATATTATGATACCTTTGCGCGCCATCTATTATAGACGCTTATGATTCTTTTAAAAATTAAACAATTTCTACTGCCCTTACTGCAATGTGAAAATGTATTTTATGCCCTCCCATTAATTTTTACATTGCAGTAAGAGCAGTAGAAATTGTTTAATTTTTAAAAGAATCATACGCGTCTATATTAGTTTCGAATTTTCATA